GACCCAGGGACCAGGAAGGCACATTTGTCACTGTCCTTTGTAATCTCCGGAGGCCATAGCCAAGCTGTGGCTTTGTCCCGGGCAGGCGGCAGGTGGGGTCTGCTGAGACACTGAGTCCAAGCCGCCTTCCCAGGCAGGCACGAGTTTTCTCCTTCACCTCCCTCAAAGTTACTGTGCTCAGGAAGCTTGCAGCCTAGGAGGAGAAAGAGGCTCCCGGGTGGAGTTTGGGATTCCCCGAGAGAATTAGGGTCTAAAGACAAGGAAGCAGGAGCGGGTGACTGCCTGAGGACCCCTCAGCCAGCCCCTGTCCCCCATCTCTGGCCTCAGGGCCCCAGGCCTCCATCCTCTCCCTCCACACCCCAGCCTCTCCCTCTCTACCTCTGTCTTTAGAGGTGCCAGAACAAGCTCTAAAAAGATAACCTGACCAAGTCACAGCCCTGCTCAAAAACCCTCTATGGCCCCCACTGCCCCTGATAAAGTCTGTCCAAGGCTCTTCCTGATCTGGTTTCTGTTCCCTCACTCCCAGCCTTGCCACCTCATCTCCCTCCTCTTGCTTTTCCTTTGTCTCTAGCCCTACTGAACTCACATGCCAAGGCCTTTGCATGCTCCATTCCCTCGGCCTGGATGTCTTTTCCAGGCCTTCTCCCCTGGCATACACTCATTCAACTGGGCTGTCCCCACCTCCAGGAAGCCACACCGGATAGCTGTCCTCAAGGGCAGAACAGGCCTGAGGGGCCCACAGAGGCTGTCCTTGGGGATGATGTGATGTGTGTGTTGGCCAAGGAGACTCACAAGCATTTGTGGAGGGGCCTTGAGCCTCTGAGGAGCCACAGCCCCTTTTCATCTTCCTCTCGGTCTGGGAGGCCCAGGCCAGAGTGATCTGCACCCTAGCTATGCTATACAAGGTCCTGGGACCCCTGTCCCACTCGCGGCGGGTGGCTGGAAGCCACAGGGCCTCAAACTCCCCAGGGTGACCCCTGACACTTAGGGTGATGCTCTCCGCTCTTCCCAGCAAGGCAGGGCCTCTTTACAACGGGTGTCGCGCCCTCTGAGGTCCTGACTTGTTTACCCGTCCCCTTGGGGCTCAGGCTGCCGCAGGCTACCTGCTGTGCCCGGGTTTGGGGACGTGGGACTCTCCAGGGGAAGAGATGGTGGCCCGGGAGGAGGACCTCAACCTATTCAGACTGGGAGCTGGGGTCAGAGTGTCTCCGTCTCCGGAGGGGGACCTTTCAGACCCCGGGCGGGAGGGGCCCGGAGCAGGGTGCCCTGGCGGCCCCAGGAGGGGGTCCCGGCCTCGGGTGAGGGCTGCGGCGCCCCGGAAGGAGCCGCGCACGCCCCAGCACGCGGTGCCCGCTGCGGCGGCCGCGGATCCGGAGGTGAGAGCGCCCCCGCCCCGCTCCCCGCCCAGCCCGTGCGCGGCCCGGCCCGGGGCTGGGGGGCGGGCGCGGATAGGGGCGCCCCCCTCCCTTTTCCGCAGCGCGGGCCCCGCTCCTCCTCCCGCGTCCAGGCCAGCGGCCGCGCTCCCTGTTCCTCCGCAGCGGGATGCGGGCTCCGGGCCCGGGCGGGGGCCGAGGGCCGAGGCCTGGCGGGCCTGGCTGGGGACCCGGCAGGCGGCGGTGCAGGGGCCGGGACCCAGGCCGCGAGCGCGCCCCTCCCGGCGGCCGGGCGCGGGGAGGCTGGGAGGGCGGGCGGGGGGAGGCGGGCGGCGGCGGGCGGGGGGAGCCAGGGAGGCTCGGAGCCTCGCGGCGCGCGGGCGGGCGGCGGAGGGGGCGCGGGGAGCCCCCCGCCCCCCGAAGGAGGAGTCTGGCTCCCACTTGCAGCCTCGGACGCGCGGCAAGGCGGCCGCCGCCGGAGGAGCCCCCGCCCCTGCGCGCCTCCCTCCCGGGAGCCCCTGCCTCCCTCGGTGCGCGCTGCTGCTCGCGGCCGCCGCGGCCGCCGAAGAGGAGCCCGGGGCCAGGTAGGACCAGGGACGGGCGGGGCGCGGCGGGCGCGGGCGGGGGGCCGGGCGCGGGGCGCAGCCGGGACCCTCTCCAGGCGCTGGGCAACGCCCGCTGCGCTGCGCAGGGGCGCCCGCAAAGTTACTTTGGCCGCCTTTGCCGGGTGCGGGAAGCGGTCTGGGCACCCCAGCTGCCCCGCCTGCCGAGCAGGCGCCGGCGGGAGGGGGCTCGGCCAGGGCGCGGGACTCCGGCTGGGGCCGCGGGGTCAGCGAAACTTTTCCTTTGCTCGCCAGTCGCTGCTGGCTGCTGGCAGAGTAGCCGGTGGAAGCAGCGGGCTGGTGGGGTGCCAGTGATGATGATGGTGGTAACAATAGCAGCCTCTGCTTGTGGAGAGCCTACTGTGTGCTCAGCCAAGCCGCTGCTGGCACTTGGGGGGAAGAAAGGGGGGACTAACGCTGGCCGAGTGGCCACTTTTGCTAGGTATTGCTGGAAACTTCATCCATTTCCTTCCATTCATTCATCCCTCCCTCCCCTCCATCCATCCATCCATCCATCCACTCACTCAACACATATTTATTCCTGTCTGCTATGTGCCCGGCCAGGGGATTCAGTGGCTACCTAGACAGGTCCCAGCCCTCAAAGGGAATGTTGATCATGGAATGCCCAAGCTAAGGAGCGGTTCTGTCTCCTGTGTGTTTGTTCTGGGACATGTTAGAGGAGCGTGAATTCGTGCACAGCCTCCCTTCACCCGGGTAGGGCCAGAGGTGTGTCATTCAGAGCACTGATGTGCCCAGGAATCTGGCAGGCCCCGGCTTGACCTTTGGGACTCACCCTTCTCCTTTCCCTCCCACCTCTCCAGGCTCAAGCTGGGTGGCCCAGTTGGTGTCAGGAGGCTCCACTCCGGAACTGGCCCCCACTCCTGTCCAGCTGACCTCTCCAGGGTGTCTCTTCCCCAGCGCTGGGCTGGCCTGGCTCCCAGCTCCCCTCCCTGAGTTTCTTTGCCTTCCCCCTCCCCATTTCCCGGGCTCCATTGAATGGCCCAGAGGAGAGCTTGTTAAGTGGCAAACAATTATGAAATTAAACTGGGGGAACAAAAGTGGGCTGGCTGTTGAATGGTGGAGCTGGCTCACGGGAGTTGAATGGCAGTGGGAGACTTGTTAGCAGGGATCTGAGGCGCTGGGGGGCGGGGGCGGGTCAGGCAGACAGGCACCGTCAATAGTCTGACTGGACTTTTCAAAAAAAAAATTAAACCAACTTGGTGAGAAACCTGGCACAGGGCTAACCATGCTTTAGGGGATGTTGGAGAGGCCACCAGCTGACTGCCACGTCCAGTTGGCAAGAGACTATTTGGGGAGGGTGCTGATGGATTCGGCCGTCCGAGGCAGGGGAGAATCTCAGGGCGTTTGAGCTGGTGGAGCTAGGCAGGCATTCTGGAGTCAGGCGCGGTCTACAGGGGCCCACTGTGTGGGAACCATGCATGATAAACTGCACTTCACCGTGCTGGGCTCCTTGCAAATTGGCTTTCCGAGTGGCAGCCCCACAACACTTGTAAAATCTTTTTCTCGAGATGGATGTCGGTGGAATGGTTCCATTGATTCTAGTGCGTGCTGGTTGGAGGTACATTAATTGGGCGATGACTAGTCAAAAGGCGATAATCCAGTCACGGAGGCTTAATGGTGTGTTCGGAAGTGTTTCAACGTGGGACTGCCTTCCTGTTTATTTCTCGGCCCCAGGAATTTCGGAAGACCTGGATTGAATGAGGTCCCTGTATTGGTGATGTGGTTGGGTTCAGAGAGTCACCTACATGGCCGAGGAGGTACCTCTGATGTAACCACCCCATGGCACGCTTAGAATCACTCACATCCACCCTGGCTGATGCCCTGTGGGCTGTGCCTGTGGACACATAGAACAGGTTTAGATCTAGGTGAACAATAAGAATTTTAGGGTGTTTTACTTGAGCCCCAACTGTCAGGAATACACAGACTGATGTAGGGAATCATTGTTCTTGAAAAACCTGCTTTTAATAAATTCCCAGCTTACCCGTGAGACTCTTAAATCTTCATCCAATGAATGTGGCTTAAGTTCATTTGTTCTTCTTTGAACTTGCTACCTTCCCACCTAGGCAGTACGGGCCTTGGTGTGCTCACTTTATACAGGACACATCTCTCTGTACTTGTTTGAGGAATTAGGGTGGTCGCTGGGTTTCCCTGAAGGGTAGCATTCAAGGAGAAAAACCAGCATTCTGGGTGCAGGTTTGGACTTCTGGAAAAAAAAGAAAACCCTCCCCAAAGTGCAATCATTTTTTAATCTATCAAAATGACTTCATTTTCCCAATTTCAGGCCTGTGAACTGATCATGAATACCAGGGCAGAGGAAATTAATCAGCCAGGCAAAGACTTTTAACAAGTAAATATTATGCACAGAAAAACATGCAATTAGTGGAGGTTAGTTAGTGCCTTTCAAGTTGCATTGAGCTGCAGTTAAGGGTGGAATTTCTGCGTTATCCCTGAATTGTCTGTCAAAGTCTTTAATGTGACAATGTGACATGTCTCTCCCATCGCCCCTCCCTCACCGGGAACAAAAAAGGGTCTTTTCACGAATTCCCCCTTTCTATTCTTCTTCTCCCTGAGATCTTTCCGTTCAGCAGTAAGTACCTTTGTCTGCCTGCCCCTCTGGAGCAAGGGTCCTGGGCAAAGGGCTCCCCAGGTGCAGAGGCCTGGGAATAGCTTCTCAGGCTCACTCCATACCCACGGATAAAAGTCGATGGCACCTCCGATAAGAGGTAGGGGCCTGCCTTCTGGCCTGGGCGCCTCACCCTCTAGGACCAGAAGTTTCCAACACTTGGGGGTGGCAGGGAGAAGAGGGGGTGAAGGGACTGTTTCCCACAGCAAGAACCGTTTAGTGTAGCCTGGGGCAGTCTGAAAGCCATTCCCTGCAGCCCTCGTTCCTGCTGTGTGGATGTCCCCATGTAGTGAGACTGAAGTTGTCTGACTTGAGTTTGAAGAGGTGACTAAAATGTCAAAAGAAAAAAAAAAAAAAAATTGAAAGAAACAAAAACCCCCAGGGGAAAAAAATAAGAGACCCCTTTTTGGGGGCGGTATTGGAGGAAAGGTATAAATTGCTTCTCAGTTAATTTGATTCACCATGGCTCTCCTCAGTGACCTGACAGGTCTGCTACCAACACAAATATTTTACTTTATTTTGACTTTTTTCCCCTAATGAGACAAGACTTAGTTATGCTTTATTTCCACTTAAAATATCTGTGACCAATGAGGACAGCCCAATTCCATGAAAAAATCATAACAAATTGAGATTATAGGTATTATTTTTGAAATCAAATTGTGATTTGAGGTGTTCATTGGCCTTTTCAGGCCTTTTTGTGAATCACTCTGTGGGGGATTTTCTTGGACCTGAACTTGGCCAGCTTAATGTCAGAACCAGGTCGTCATCATAAATAGAAGCAGCTGCAGGAAAAAAAAAATACATAAAATTCTCCCTTCTGGTTGACTCTGCTCTGCATCCAGTTCAAAGCCAGGGATGAGTAGGCTCCTCTTTCCACCACCCCAGTCTACACCTGAACGTTTGTTTCTGTAAAATGTGACTTGTCTGTTGCCCACCTTCGCATTCCCGTCTCCTCCTTCCAAGAAGGAAGTGAGGCTCAGCACTGATGCACAAGAAGAGACTTTTGGCATCGCCCATGCTAATTTCATCACTTCAAGGAGAAAACGATGCCTGCTTCCAATTTCTAACACTCTCATCATTTCCTCTTCATTTCATTCTTTTGCATTTTACGGACAGTACTGCAGTCTGCAAGCCTGCAAAATATATTGCATTGGCTACCTGAGAAATGTAATCCCTTCCTGCAACCTGCCTTTCCCTTCTTCCTGACAAAGCGCTTTTTAGTGTCTCAGTGTTCACAGAAAAGGCAAAGGTTCTCTCCCCCAACCCTTATTCTGCCTTGGGCTCCCCGCACAGCGCGGGTGCTGAGGGGCTGGTGAGAATGGAGTTTTGCTTTTGTTAAGTTTGCCATTCAGACACATTAGTGAATTGATCATACTTGGGAGGTTTAATCCTTAATTGCAAATTCCCGCACGATCACAAAACATACACTTGAACTGATCATAAAAATGGCAAAACCCCAATATCAGACTTAAGTGTAGAATTGCCATAGTGCTGATTTGATTATGCTTCAGTGACATCTGTTTAATAGATTTCCACAAGAACTGTAAATCCACATTTACTTTCTTTGCAAATTGTGTTTGAATGCTGAGCAACCACAGCCCTCTAGCATCTTCCCCTCCCTAGCCATGTATGTGCTCAACCCCCATTCCTGTGGAGGGTGACTTGATGTATAAGTGGGAAGGGGACACAATGCTGAGTTTTACACATTTACCTCCTATTTCCTTTTGTGTGTGGGTATGTCTGTGTGCATGTTTGAAACAGATCTGAACAGCTTACCATTTCAACTCCATAGATACGTGACTCTCCAAGTGCTTTATTTTGAAAACTAGGACGTAGCACTTTGCAGAAGAAAAATCAGTCCACTTGCTATTGTTTATGTGATCGCTGATCTGCTAGATGGATATAGAAAGCACCAAGAATTATAATAATTTATGGAGTGGAGCACTGGTTTACAAATATATTTCTCTGCCCGAGCTTTGTGGGTTTCTTTGCGTCTCGGGGCTCGTTCCGTGCAATGGGAACGGAGAATATTCAGAATCTGAAGACGGGCCCGGCGAGCCGACTGCATTCATAGCTAAAATTAAAGGAATAAGTGAGCAGCTATTTGTGGCAGACAGGACATGATCCAGTAAGTAGCACTCTTCATATTCCGAAATAAAAGTACATAATTGGAAAATGAAGCGGCAGAGACTGCTGGGGGGTGGCGGTGGTGAGGAATTAGAAAGTGTAATTTAAAATCATGTAGTCATAATTCAAAATGGGCCCAGCTAAAAGGTTTTTAAGTGGTAAATGCTTTAAAGTCACTGTGGTTGATCCTTTTTCAAGGAATAGGGGCTAATTTTCACTTTATTTGTGGATTCCTTCATCTACTGAGCTCATCAGCTTATTCAACTTAGATGCTAATACCAGCTGCTGGCCAGCGTTTCTTTTCCTTGGGATCCCACACTTGATTGGGAAGGAGATCAAACACAAAGGTCTGTCATTTTAGGACATGGTGGGACGAGGTCTGATTTTTTTTTCTCCCATTAGGGTATTTGCTTCTTTTCCTTTGAGTTGCTCTGCTTTTTTTTTTTTTTTTTCTTTTATGGCATTTTCAACTATCAGCTCATCAATTGCATATTTTCAAGCAGAGGCAAAACAAGGAAAGAAAATACGATTTTAAAAGTGATTTTTGGGCTTGTGTAGGAATCGTCGCTTGTAAAACAATTCTCCCCAGATCCCTACATCTTGGTACTTTTCTGTTAAATATTATCTCCTGCATTTTGCTTGGGGGGACCACTTAGGAAGTGTTAGCGTGGTTTCTCTGTGACATTTTGCCACATTGCGACAAAAGCCCTAGTAAGCACTGCCTTCGCTGAGCCGAGCCGGCTTTTTCTCTGCATCGCCCTGAGCCACCGGCCTGAAGACAGGCAGCTGCACTTGGGGTTGGCCCGTTAGAGAGGCTGGGGCTATTCAGTCGCTCCTGCTCTCAGTTAAAGGCCCCAAGAGGAGACGGAGCCAAGGTGCGTCTAGGATCCTGCGAAAGCTTTCCAAGGTGGGGTTCCTCAGAATGCCGCCGCGGGGACGGCTGTTGGGGGAGATGTTTCTCTGGAAGCTTCTCATGCTTAATAAGACAGTGGTTTCTGTGTGCTCGTTGACTGTCATCGAGTTTTGGACCCAGGACAGCACCATACTGTCCTAGCCCCCCAGTGATTGTTAAAGAGCTGCCGACAGAATGGAAGAGAAACACAGGTGGGTTCTAGGGATGGCTGCCTTACCGGCCTGGCACTGGCTTTGATCAGAGTGACCTTTCCCTTCCAAACGAGAGCACTTTCGAGAGCCGAAGAGGATGCTGGTAACGGTGGCACCGGGACAGTCGATGTGAACCGGGGCTGTCTCGGGCCCGCGCTGACTTGGAGGAGCCTGTGTTGGCTGGGAGCGATGCTTCAAGTCACATGGTAAAGCGAAATCTATCTTTGGTCTGCAGGGCAGCAGCTCCTCTGGTAGTGTAATGCTCCAAGATCTTCCTCACATATCTTCGGACAGATAGGGGCCACCAGAATGATCCAAGAATCTCTTTTGCAAAAATCCATCTGCTGCTGAGATGCTGTGTGTGAGCCAAGGCCTCTCTCACTCTCTCTCCTTCCTGGGCCTTCAGCACACACTGGCTGGCCTTGCTGTTTGGTGGGGGCCTTGTTAGGGGCCCACAGACCCCGTCCACTGCAACTCCTCGAAACAGAGTTCTGAGGAGGTCTGTTGTCTGCCTGGCTGCTTCGTCAGGTCTGAGCCCTTGGAGGGCTAGTTTCGTGTCGGTCCTGTGACTCCCAGAACAGGACCTGGCCCAGAAAAGGATCTGGCCCAGAGCAGGAGCAGCAGCGGGTGCGCTGGGGCTGACCAGTGCCCTGCAGTGTCCAGATGGGGGTGGTGGTGAAGAATTTGCCTAGAAAAATGAGTCAAGGGCGGGTCGTAGTGGATGTGTCCAGCCACAACTCCCTGGGAAGTCAAAGCCCCAAAGACTTACTCAGTAGGGTGAGAGGGAAGGGGTCAGGCACCCTGGGCTTTCAGGCAGCAGAGGACGGGTTGCTTGAAAATCCCTTCTGTGGCCGGGCACGGTGGCTCACCCCTGTTATCCCAGCACTTTGGGAGGCTGAGGCGGGCGGATCACAAGGTCAGGAGATGGAGACCATCCTGGCTAACACGGTGAAACCCTGTCTCTACTGAAAATACAAAAAATTAGCCGGGCGTGGTGGCACACGCCTGTAGTCCCAGCTCTTTGGGAGGCTGAGGGGCAGGCGAATGGCGTGAACCCAGGAGGCGGAGCTTGCAGTGAGCCGAGGTCGCACCACTGCACTCCAGCCTGGGCGATGAGCGAGACTCCGTCTCAGGGAAAAAAAAAAAAAGAAAATCCCATCTGCATTCTTGAAATTTCCCTGGGGAGCTTCTGAGTTCATCAGAACATTCTAACTAGAGGAGAAGAGACATGGAGTGAGCACCTCCTGTGTGTTGGGCCCTGGCAGGAGGCTTTTGGATCTCCTGTGTCCTTCAGTGCTCCAGCAACCGTATGTTTGTAGATGAAAAACTAAGATTAAGGGGGGGCAAAGCTGCTTTGGAGTCCTGCTGTCATACTCAAAGGCCTGTGTAGTTTCATTCATTCATTCGTTCATTCATTCATTCATTCACATACCAGTTTATTCTTTGGTGTTTCAGCTCAGATAAAAAGCCGACTGTGTGTTGGGAACTTTGATACAGGAAGCCTTGGGGGCTGTGGGTGGAGGCTCCTGACCCAGCCAGGGGAGGTCAGGGAAGGTGTTTTCGAGGTTCTGAATCTTCCTGAGACTGAGTGGGCCTGTGTCAGGAAACGAGGGTGAACGCAGGGGTGGGGCTGGGTGCAGGGCCTTCTGGGCAGAGGGAATAGCATTCGTGGAGGCTTCAAGACAGGACCCCCTCTGTGCCAGGGAAAGCCTGCATGACTGAGCCGGGCCTGAGAAGTGGGAGTGGGACTGGGGCCAGGTGCAGCCTCCTCAGCTGACCTGAGGCACTGAGCTTCACCTGAGTGCATCAGCGGCTCTGGAGCGGCTGGGTGTGCCAGAGGGAATGGCACGGGCAGAGGTGAGTTCTAGGACATTCCTTCTGGAGGCTGGCGTGGTGTGGCCATGGTGATGAGGGGTCAATACGGCCAAGAGACCAGACAAGTTTGGGGGTGGGGGGGCGGTCAGAGAGAGGCACAAAGAGGTGGGGCCTGGAGTCTGACCTCTTTCCTAGACACCAGTTTTCCATACAGTTGGCGTCGAATGGGACCTGCTCCTTAGTGTCTTGGCTGACACCCAGGTTCTCCTTGGAGCACCCTGGCCTCACTGAACTCACAGTACCCGAGGAACAACAAATAAATGTCTCTGAGAGGAAAATGGAAAGAGAAACCATCTGATAAGAGAATCAGACTTTGGAAAAGCAAGCCCTTAGAACCAGAGGGAATTTTTCAAGGAGTGCTGGGCTGGGGGGACCTGGAGTCTCCCATTCTGGGTTCACTGGGCCTTTATGGGCAGGTCCAAGGCTCATTCCGGCCCCTTGGTAACCCCTCAAGGGGACCACCGAAGAAGTGGAAACAGAGGTTGAGTGACTTGCCCAATGTCCCACCGCTCAGCAGCCTGAGATGGAATTTAATGGGAACCCCACTTCCTCTGACTTCAGAGTCCAGGCTGTCCTCCGTGGCAGACGCATGCCAGTGACCTGTGACAATGAAAGAGTGAGGCCATTTATCCAGGCCGCCCGGGCCTCAGGGACCTAGCACTTCCCCTCCCTCTGCCCGGCTTCTCATTCCCTAGGTCTGGGCATGGCTATTGTCACTGGTATGTGAGGTGAGGCCCCTTCAGATAGCCTTTTTTTTTTTTTTTTTTGGAGATGGAGTATCACTCTGTTACCCAGGCTGGAGTGCAGTGGCCCGATCTCGGCTCAATGCAACCTCCACCTCCCGGGTTCAAGTGATTCTCCTACCTCACCCTCCCGAGTAGCTGGGATTACAGGCATGCGCCACCACACCTGGCTAAGTTTATATTTTTAGTAGAGACGGTGTTTCTCCATGTTGGTCAGGCTGGTCTCGAACTCCCGACCTCAGGTGATCCTCCCGCCTCGGCCTCCCAGAGTGCTGGGATTACAGGTGTGAGCCATCGTGCCCAGCACAGATAGACCTTTCTTGATCACCCAATTTAATCACCCCATCACCCTGCTCTGTCTTTTTCCAGGTACTGATTATTAGCTGAAAGTGTCTTTTCTGTTTAATTCTTTGTTTACCTTATTGTCCCCCCTCCCACCCCGTCCCATAGTCCTTGAGGGCAGGTCTCTTTGTTTTTCCATTGCCCTTCCTGGCACCCGGAACAGGGAGAGGATGTAGGGCCGTGGCTAATGGTTGTTGAATAACTCGTTCCTCTATTCATTCATTCATTCATTCATTCATTCATTCATTCCATCCATCCTCCCCCCTAGTTCCATTTGGGGGAGGCACCTGCAGCCCCATCAGGATGCATGACTTGCTTAAGGTCACTCCGCTGGACTGAGAGCCAGGCTGGGAGCCCAGGCGGTCTCCCTGCGGCGGGTCCCGGGGCACCACTGCGTCGCTCGCGTGCTGTGCTGTTTTGTGGACCAGGTGTAAACGCTTCCTAGCTCAAAGCTGTTTGTTTGGGAGATGCTGCGCCTCCTCCGTGGATCGGCTGCGCGGCGGAGAATGCTCGCCTCCTCGCACGGTGGCTAACGTGCTGCTGCGGCTCCATAAATATTAAATGGGCATTAAAAGAAGGCGCTGCGTTTCCAGTTTCCCGGATTTCTCTGAGCAGGGCCCGTTGCGAACCCCCTTTATGTGAAATGCAGCATTTCACCGCGGAGCGCCTCCGGGAGCCTTGCCGCCCGCCTTTCCCGGCTGAGTCCCTTTGGTGCAGAGCGGTTCTCCCTCGACTGCAGGCTATCTGCATGCTGGCGCCTGCTCCTCTGGGGCAAAGACGGGTGGGGGCCCCGGAACCCCTTTTCACAAGGGCTGTGCCAGCCTGGCAGCCTCCTTGCTGGGTATGCAAGGAGGGTAAGATGGAGACGGGGCAGTGGCTCTTCAGTCTTTAGCTGTGCTCTCCTGACACCCAGCTTCTCCCAGGCCCCTGCTGGGCACCAGGCAGTCTCCAGACACTCTGTCCTTCTGTCCCCTTATGGTCTCTGCATTCATCCCTCCATCCATCCGTTTCTCCCTCCCTGCCTCCATCCATCCACTAATACTATTGATGAAGTATTTGTGATAGGCCATGGGGTGATCATGTTATAAAAATATTAGCTAACATTTATTGACCACTCACTGTGTGCTGGGCTCTGTGATCAGCAGCTTACATGTGTCACCTCACTGAATATTCATGACTCTACAAGATAGGGACTGTTTTTCTTTCCATTTTGTAGAAGAGGAAACAGAGCCTCTGGAGGTTCAGCCGCTTGCTCAGGGTCACAGAGCTGCTGGGGGCCGGAGCTGACACATGGGGTGCACAAATGGGGGGCCCAGCCCTGCCCTCAGGGGACATCCGGGCTCTTCCTGGCACCCTGAAAAGAAGGCCCCAGATCCAGGCTTCTCCAAGGAGACACCAGCATTGCTGAGAGGAAGGGTGTCAGCTTCAGCCAGCAGGAGAGGAGGGCAAAGCCGGAAGCCAGGCAGCTAGGTCTGGGGGCTCAGCCCTGCCACCTACTCTCTGTGCAACGAGACATCACTTCTGTGGGATGTACCCTTCATCATTTGTCAAACGTGAGACATGAGCATCAATATCTGTCTCTTAGTGGTGAGCATTGCAGAGGAAGACTCTCGAAAAGTGCTGGAATTGTGTGGCTCTGAACAAGAGCATGGCCCTTGTGAGCTGTAGGCCTCCAGGTGCAAGAGCCCACCGGGGCTGGCCTGTGTGGCTCAAATAGAGGCCAGACCAGTCATAGGGCCAGACCATGCGGGGTCTTATGGTCAAGGGATTTTATCAGAGAAGCCACCACAAGGATTTCAAGTAGGGATGTGATGTGGTCAGCTTGCATTTGAGAAATATTTGAGTTCTTCAGGGCCCGTCTGGCACCCCTAGCTCCTGGAACTGGCCCCTTAGTTCGCACTTGACACCCTGGTACCAAGGGTGCCCAGTACTCAGGCAGCACCCACTGACAGCAGCTCCTCAATATGCAGGGATCGAATTGAACAGAATAGTGACTTTGACCATCACAGCCGAGGTGAGCTGGGCCCATGGGACCCACCAGGCTTTGTACTCAGGATTCCTGCTTACCTCTTCATTTAACCTGCACAATCCCCGGGAGATGGCATTACTAATATCAAATCCATTGTCTTTTCTTTTTTTTTTTTTTTTTTTAAACAGAGTCTTACTCTGTCATCCAGGCTGGAGTGCAGTGGTGCTATCTTGGCTCACTGCAACCTCCGCCTTCTGGGTTCAAGCGATTTTCCTGCCTCAGTCTCCCAAGTAGCTGGGATTACAGGTGTGCACCACAGTGCCCGGCTAATTTTTGTATTTTTAGTGGAGAGGGGAGTTTCACCATGTTGGCCAGGCTGGTCTCGAACTCTTGACCTCAGGTGATCCGCCCGCCTCAGCCTCCGGAAGTGCTGGGATTACAGGTGTGAGCCACTGCACCGGGCCTCAAATCCATCTTCTAGAAGAGGAAGCTGGTGGCTCAGAGAAGTTAGGAAGTTGACTTAAGGTCACACAGCAAGTCAGCCATGCTGGGGCTTGACCCCTGTCCAGATCTGGGCAGGCCTGGCTCAGAGTATGCAGAGTCCTGGAACTTGGCATCTGGTGCTCTGAGGCCTTTCCCGGGGTTTCTGGGTGCCGGGCAGCAGTTACAGACAAGAGGGGCGCAGGTCCCTGCTCCCCCACCTACAGTTCTGTTGCGTAGCACCCGCAGGGAGAGCCAATCACTTAGAAACAACCCACAGGACCAAACAATGGCACAAGTGTGTCCCCAGGAAAAGGGAGACGTTTCCCCCCTTGTCTTTGCAGGTGGAAAAGAGGGATATGTGTTGGGAATCAGGACGTGTCTTTAGGGGTTGGTGGGAGAAGGAGGATATTGCTATTTATTTCAACTTCTAGGGAGATGATCAAGATTTAAAAACAATTAATAACCCATTTCTCTTTTGCACATAATTACAATGTTCTCCATTCTCTAATTTTTGTCATTTTCCTAATCTAATTTGTTTTCTGACCGTGTCGATTCTTCTTCCAAGCGCAAAGCAAACGGGATTTTTCTTCATTTAGCGTGTTTGCGATATGCCTATCCAGGAATAGTTTCAATGATGTTATTTTCTCCTTGGTTAAATACAGTGCAAAAGGAATCGTCGGAGGGTCTTAACGACCCAAACTGAAAACAACGACAAAAAGTCTTCAAGGCATTTCCCATTGACACAGTTTAGAAAATAATTATGAAAAGGAACGAGACAACTCGATGGTCTGAGTAACGAGGCATCGGCCGTAGTGCTGTGTGTTGGGGTAGGATGGGGTCTCACCCGGGGCCTGCATTTCCAAGTTTCTACAGAGTTCTACACTGACCCCGAGGCGGGGTCGGTTGGAGGGATATTTAAGCCCAGTAAATATAAGTGCAAACTGCACTTCCCGGTGAAAAAGATTTGAAAAATATTGTATATTCTCAAGCTGCAATTCAAAGCTTGACGGGGTACCTCAGGGTTCCTGAGATCCTCATGAGAGAGAAGGTAGTGAGGCACCAGAGGAGGTTTTTGCAAAAGGTTCCTCCTCCCTCACCATCTCCGCCCCTACCTGCACCACCACCCCTGAGCCGGTGGGTATGTGACCATCTATGTCTGGGAAAACCCCTTCTCGGGGCACCACTAAAAGATATCTTTAGATGAAATTGATGTTGAGGGAAGAATTTTCGCCCGTGCTGTCTCCACCTGCTCGGGCTTGCAGGGGTGTGGGCGTGGGGCCGTGTGGGTGTGTTTGGGGGTCTGTGGGGGATGGGGGAGGGTTGTAGGAGAATCCTTCTTATTTCCCAATTCTGAAAAGTAAAACTTAACTCACCTGTTTACAAAATACCAGCCATTGTCTTACCCCAGCTCCCTGTCACCCTGTAGGCTCTGGAGGATTTTGTTGAAGGAAAAAAAAAAAAAAGCCTGAAGTATTTAAACACGTTGGGCCATGCATGCATCCGTCCACAGTGCTGTGGGTTGTGTTTTTTTTTTTTCTTTTTTTTCTTGTCCCCTCCCTCCCTTCCCTTTTCTTTTTACCAAAGTATATTCATCAAACTGCTGAGTTGGAAAGATTTGTAATGAGTTTTTGAGCTGTACGACTGTGTTTTTTTCCCTCTCCCCCCGCCCTCTCCCTCTTTCTAAATCTTCATCTGACATTAAATAAAGCAAATCCCAAACAGATTAACTGTCGCACGGTTCTGCTCCGTCTCCTCAGTCTGTTTCCAGGTCTGGCGGGGGGCCGGGCTGCGGTGGCGGCAGCGGTGGGAGATGCCGGGGCGGCCAGCGGAGGTCCATGTGGCGCTCTAGGTGGGATGCCGGCGTCCTGAAGGCGGAGGCCCTGGCCCTCCTCCCCTGTGGCCTGGGCATGGCATTCTCCCAGTCCCACGTGATGGCCGCTCGGCGGCACCAGCACAGCCGGCTCATCATCGAGGTGGACGAGTACAGCTCCAACCCCACCCAGGCCTTCACCTTCTACAACATCAACCAGGGCCGCTTCCAGCCACCGCATGTGCAGATGTAAGTGGGACCTGTGGGGTGGGGGTGGGGGTGGTGACAGCCCCCTGGGGTGGGTGCATGGTCTCGGGTGCCTCCTGGTTCTGGGTGCACCGTTAACAAGCATTGAATGTTTGTTGACTGCAGCAATTCTGGAATCCTAGGATCACTGGGGCTCTGAGTTGGGAGGGACCGGCAAGAAGTTGCAGATGGATGGCCTGTGGGCCGATTCTGGCCGCGGTCCTGTTTCACTTGGCCAGGAGCATGTTTTACAAATATTTAAAGATGAGGTGGACGCACAGAAAACTCCAGACTTCTGGCTTCACTTTATAAAACCCAAAGGCCTGGCAACCCCAGGCCCACATGTCCTCCTGGCAGCGTCTGGCGGGGGCCACATTCCAGATCCCTTTCTTGGCATTTGGGTGGTGACCCCTTGTCTGATTTACTCTCCTCATTGTACACACAGGGAGACCGAGGCCCAGAAAGGGGAAGGGGCTTGCCACAAGCCCCATGGCAGGTTAGGACCCAGTCTTGGGCTCTGTGTTTCCTCTCCCTGCCCTTCCTTTTGTCCAGACCCTGTGCTTCTCTTGTGAAAGCAGAGATGCTTTTCCAAAAGGACTGGGGGATTCTGTTGTCTACCCCTTGGGGCACTAGGGGTAGACAGTGCCAAGCAGTGCTCAAGCAGTGAGGCCCTGGGGAGCACACAGACTCAAGATCCCCATAGGCAGCAGGAGGGCTTGTCCTGATGCCTGTGTGCAGGGCCAGCCTTTCCCATCTGGATTTCCTGAGGTCCTGGAAAGCTGTGGGTGGCTGGGGGTGGCTCCAGAGATGGTCAAGCTCCTGACCCTGCTCTGGGTGGTTCCCTGAGTCCCTAGAACTCCCCTCCTCCTTTATACCTGTTGCTTCTCCCATGAGCCCTGCACGACAGAGTTTACCTGGTGAGGAACCAGGGGCCCAGGCCCATGAGGTGCCCCACCCTGCTGGCAGGTGCCAGAGCTGGACTCGAACCCAGGCTTCCTGAGTCCAGCCCGGGGCTCTCCATGCTGGGCCTCCCACATCCTCGGGCTGTGATGTGTGTGGATGTTCACGCTTCTGCCTGAGAGCGGAGGCTATTGTCCCCTCGGCTGTTGTACCTTCACCCGACTCTGGGTGCCCGCGCCCAAGCTGGGTCTGGATCAGGGATGACCCCTGCAGAGCAGGGAGGTAACAGCACAGGGAGGCGGGAGCTGTGACAGGGGCTGATCCAGTGCTGTAGGACCTACGGGAAGCCCTCCTGACTGCCCAGGGGTCTGGTGCCCCAACAAGGGTCTAGGCTCTGGGCCGCCTCTGGGGCTGTGATCACCATCTTGGGGCAGCGGTGCTTGTGGAGTCCCAGCCACTGTCCCTCGGACCACTTGGAGAAGGAATTAAGGGGGTTTCCAAACCCTGGCCTGGTGGGATGTGTGTGAGGTTGCAGCCTCCCGTCCCTGTGCGGCCTCCCTCAGGCCTGGCCTCGGTTGTGGGCAGAGGGGGGTACAGGGAAGGGCTCTGCAGGGCAGCAGGCTCCAGGCAGGGATTGCGGTCTTCTAGTGGCACTTGCCCAGGAAAATGCTTGTCTCCGTGTGGGGCCGCAGGACTGGTGTTGCCTGTGGCTGCCTACTTTATTTTTTGGTAGATTTCTATTTGGGCTGCTGCCTCTGGGTTTCTGTTTTTGGGACCAAATTGGCGGGTTTGGGCAGGAAGGAAGGCCTCGGGCCTTAGGTCTGTGGGACTTGAGGCCTGGGAGGGGCTGCAGGGACGGGGACCTTCCCTGGCCTGAGTTTTATCTTTTGTTGGTGAGGGTCATCCTCCAACTGGGTGGGTCAGAGGTGACTGAGCCTGAGGTCCCTGTAGGCCAGGCTGAACTCCTGCCTAGTGGGCAGGCAGAGAGCAGCAAGGCCTCCCAGGGCAGGTGGGGTTTGTGAGGGTGCCGGCACCACACACAGTGGGACCATGGACAGCTGTCAGTCACAGCGCCCCTTCCTGGGCCAGGCACACACTCTGGGAGCTCCTAGTCTGAGAACAGAGCCGGGGAAACAGGAAGACAGGGAGTGGGGGCTGAGGAGGCGCTTCCCAGTTTCAAGGGATCCAGGAAGGACCTCCTGGACCTCCTGGAGAACTAGATAATTTCTAGGTTGAGGCCAGAGCAGGAGGAATAGACATAGCAAGTTGGAAGGGGGTGTGAGGAGGAAGTGGACCAGGCAGAAGCAGTGGCAGGGTCGGAGCCTGCAGGTGGCTAGAAGACGGGGGTCTCTAAGAACTGCAGGGAGGCCCAGCTGGGCAGGCAGTGGGAGTGGGGGATGAGCAGGAGACACCACAGGTCTCTGCAGGCTGGGCTGCGTCCTGAGGGAGGGTGGTGAATGACAGAATGAGAAGGGGTGATCTACTCCATTTAACTGAGCCACCCGGGGCCATTCATTCTTTTGTTGAGTCATTCATTTATTCACGCATTTGGGATGTCTGTGAGCTGCTGAGTTTCTCAGTGTTTAGGACCTTGGGCACTGAGCTTGCCTGCTTGGATGGGGGTCATGCTGCTTGGTGCCTCAGTTTCCCCAATCTGGAGCTGGCTACTCCAGGTGGAGGCACCACATGCTTCCCTGAAATTCCCCTTGCCGTGCCGCCCTCCTCGGTTGGCACATGTGCTCTGCACAGCTCGGAAAGCTGGTCCTCACCCCCCGTGGCGCTAGTCCACGCATTCTCAGTGGAGGAAACAGCCCCTCCAAGGGGTAAAAACTGGTTCTTAGGGGGTGAAAAAAATGCTGCACACAGTAATACTGGGGATGAAAGAGTTAAATCCTGGTAGAGAAGGCCCAGTGGGCAGCAAGCATTCAGCATTGGTAGCACATGCCAGGCCTGGTGAGAGGCTTGGGACCCAGCAGTGATCGAAGGCACTCCTGCCTGTGCTGAGCTTACATCCAGTGGATGGCAGGCAGTTAGCAGATGGTCATGAAAGCTTGTGATGCTGGTGATGGTAAGCGCTGTGGAGAAGGAACTTAGCTGGGGAGCTGGAGCAGGCCCCGTGAGGATTTACACCTGGCCTGCCCCACCCCATCCTGGACGGCTCTGCACCACCACCTCCGGCAGTGGGGAGAGTTCCCGGCTCCTGCTGGCTCTGGGGCTCCGAGGCAGCTGGGGTTTGGGTGGGGCCCTGGAGAGAGCGTGCTCTGAGCTCCAGCTTTGAAACACAACTTTGCACACAGCTGGGTAAAGCCAGGGTGGGCACAGAGATGGGGGGCTTCTGCCTCCCACTGCCCCTTCATTCAGCCTCCACACCCCAAGCTCGGAAGCATGCAGGCTGCTGGAGGTGGCTGAACGGATTTCCATGGCGAGTCGGCTGCTTCCTCCCAGGAGCGGTGGGGGGATGGCTGCCACCTTCTGACATGTGATTTGTCGCCACCCTGGGCTTTGTCTCCGGGGTGAGGGAGCGAGGGGGCCTTATTTAATAAATCCACAATTTATATTTAATAACAACAGTGACAGTCCAAACATGGCCTCTGATTGAGTCCTGTGATTTATGCCGTTGCCCCCAGAGACCCTGCTGGTGACGAGGCCGGCTCTGCTTGGGTAATGAATCTCTGGAGCTGGGCCTCTGGATTGTGAGCAAGGCTGAAGATTCCTTGCCCTGGCAACTGAGCAACCCTGTGGGGGTCTCAGGAGGCCCCTCTAGGCCCGGCCCTTCTGCCCAGGGTGGGCAGGCGGACCACTGACCTAGTGGTCAGTGGGAAGGCAAGAGTGAGTGTTGGGGGACAGGGTTAGCCTGGAGCTCTCATGTAGGTCCCCAGGACCATGGCATCAGGCACAGCAACCCCTCTCTGACCTTTACAAGGCGTTATGGCAGAGGCTTGAGTCATCGCTGAAAGACCCTTCGAGCCCCTCAGGCGTGCACCGGGTCCTTGAAGCTATAGCAGAGTGGGATGGGAGGCCACAGCTGCATGCCAGGCCTGGAGCAGCCCCTTTGTGCCTGTTCCTGGTCTTTCCTGCTGTCCCAGGATGGTGTGGACCCCCTCTCTACAGATGAGGATGCTGAGGCTTTGGAAGGTGAGCGTGGGGAGCTGGGACTCCTACCCGGTGCCGTGTGGCTCCTTGGCCTGTCCACACACTGAGAGGCTCCTGGAGACGTGGAGCTCAGCCTGGAGTGCAGGGATGGGGGACAAGGAGCAAAGCAAGTGGGGAGGACTCACCCCGGCACCGCCTGGCTCCCAAGCCTCATTCTCCATCCGTGTCGTGCTGGGCAACAGATACAGTGGCTGCTTCCGGTTTCTTAAACATTCCAGTCTTCCTCCTGCCTCAGGTCTTTGCACATGCTGTTCCCTCTGATCCCAACTCTTTGCCCTATGAGCACTGACTCCTCCTTCAGATCTCACCCAGGTGTCACCACCTCAGGGAAGTCTTCCCCGCTCCAGCTCTAGGTGCTCACTGCTGGGCCTGGTGGCGCACGCTTAGTGGAACCTGATTCAGTCTGTGCTGATACATTCCTTTGCGGGAGGATTTCCCAAGCATCTGTCCCCTGCACGAGCATGGGGCTGCATGTCTGGAGCCTAGCACAGGGAACAGGAAGCAGGAAAGAGAAGAGAGTGAGAACGGGACAGGTGGCAAGACTCAGGAGGAGTGTCAGGGATCACGGAGGGCTTTCTGTGGGGGTGGGGGTGGCATAATCCCTGGGCGTGGAGGACCAGCTGCACTGTGGCCTCTGTGGAGTGGGCCACTTTAGGAAGAGGGACCAGTAAGAGCAGAGGCCAGGATGTGGGAAGGAAGGACAGGCGTGGGGACGCCAGAGGGTCCTGTGGCCAGGGTCCCCTTGGATCCATTGCTTTGTGGGAAGACCACTGGGCAAGGGGTCGGGGCAGTTGTTGTGTGATGCTGATCCAGCCAGTCATTGCTCCTCCCCAGGCCTCAGTTTCCCCATTTGTAAAATGAGAGGAAGGGGCTAAAGGTCCTTTCCTACTAAAACACCATGGCTGATGCCCAGTCACACGGCTGGACGAGTTGTTGGAAGCTGTCCCTGCCTGGACCTTCAGAGCACCCCATTTCTGCAGGAATAGGGTTACGAGGGGTAACAGCCTCTGCTTCTGATGCCTCTCTGGGCTTTTGGCACCAGGAACTGCACTTCCACAGAACCAGTGGCTTATGGGAGAGAAGGAACCGAGAGCAGGATGCAGAGCGCACTGCAGGGATATTGGCATCAGGGCTCCAGCTGTGAAGGTTGGTTAAGTTCTCACAACATGACAAAGAGGGAGTGGCTCGTCCCCACCCTACGGAGCAGGGCTGGAGGCTGGTGGGGTCCAGGGGCACAGCGAGGAGGAGGTCACTGAGCTGGGGTGCCAGCCTGGGGTCTGGTGTCGGAGGCTGTTCTCTCCTCTGTATTGTTCCTGCTGCCAGGAATCCCATGGGAAGATCGGTGTAGGCTGGGGAGAGCTGGAGATGGGTGTCAGGTCTCAGAGCCACCCCAGTAGGCAGCAGCTTTGGGGAAGTTGAGTTTGGCTCCAAGAAACAAGAAGCCTTTGCTTCCATGTCTTATCTCTGGTCCCTGCAGAATGTCACTGAGAAAGAACCATTTTGTACTTTTTTTTTTTTTTGGTCACAAAGTGTTGAGATTAGATACCCAGATTCCTGTTGTGAAGTCCTGGGTTCAAATTCCACTCTTTAACTTAGTAGCTGGGAGCTTGGGCATGGACTAACTTTTCATTGTCATTGCAAGTATCAGAAACACAACTGAAGTTGCCTTAAGGATGAAAAGGAGTCTGCTGGCCCATATTAAGAATTTCAAGTTTGGGTCTGGCTTCAGGTATAGATGGATCTTCAAATGATGCCCCGTTGTTCCCTGTCTCTTTGTCTCTCTCTTTCTCTACATATACACATTTTGTTGTTGTTGTTAATTTTTTTTTTTGATACAGTCTCACTCTGTTGCCCAGGCTGGAGTTCAGTGGTGCGATCTCAGCTCACTGTAACTTCCGCCTCCCAGGTTCAAGCAATTCTCCTGTCTCAGCCTCCCGAGTAGCTGGGACTACAGGTGCACACCACCACGCTCGGCTAATTTTTGTATTTTTAGTAGAGACAACGTTTCACCATGTTGGCCAGGCTGGTCTTGAACTCCTTTCCTCAAGTAATCTGCCCGCCTTGGCCTCCCAAAGTGCTGGGATTACAGGTGTGAGCCATTGTGCCTGGCCTCCTTCTCCATATTTTGACTCTTTTTGCTCTTTCCTTCATTTGCAAACATAGTCAGGGTTTCTGGATCTTCACACCGGTGGCCTCTGTGGGTGTCCTGACCACAGACGTATCCTTACACCAAGCAGGTGCCTGGCATTTGGAGGCATTCGGTAAGATTTGTCCATAGGTTGACTGAATGAAATGAAGTCCAGCCTGGTAATAGTCCAGTGTGGTGTGAGTTCTGGAGCCAAAAACCAGCTTCCAATTTCAGCTGCACCAGCTCCTGTAGCTAAGATCATGGACAAGTCAGCCTTTTCTGAGCCTCAGTTTGCTCACCTGTAAAATGGGGCTACCCATAGTACCCTGTTTAGATGGTCATTATGAGGGTGAAGAGAGCGACTGCCTGTAACATGCCCAGCACATAATGAGCTCTTGATGCGTGGGGATCATTGGAATCATTATTGTTGTTGTTATTTCAAAGTCGAGCATTTGTTTCAATCCAAATAGCTGGAGGACCGTGCCGGGTAATGAGAGTCTATTTCTTTCTCTGGGGATGACTAGGTCTGCATCTTCGCTGTGCTCCAGAAGCCTCGGGGTGCAGGGAAGTAAGAGTGGAGTTAATTAAAGAGCTCTGGCTCCAGTAGCAGGCCCAGCCCAACCGGAGCCCTCAGAACCACACTGCTCTTGGCTGGCTGGTGGCGGGCGGGAGCTGAGGCCCACTCAGGGCTCCTCTGCTAGGAAGGGCGCCGGGGAGGGTAGACTGTCAGGGTCCCAGCAGCTCGGGGGTGGCATTATACTCCCTGTCTCTCCTTTCTTCATCTCTTTGTCTCTTTGACTTAGTCTTTGTCACCTTATAACATCTTCAAAACCTCAGAGACACACACAGAGAGAGACACACACACACACACACAAAGGGGGGAAGGAGAGAGAAAGGGAGAAGAGAGAGAAAGGGAGGAGAGAGAAAGGGAGGAGAGAGAAAGGGAGGAGAGAGAAAGGGAGGAGAAAGAGAGAAAGGGAGGAGAGAGAGAAGGGGAAGAGAGAAAGATAAAGGGAGGAGAGAGAGACAAAGGAAGGAGAGAAAGGGAGGAGAGAGAGAGGGAGGAGAGAGAGAAAGGAGAGAAAGGGAGGAGAGAGAAAGGGAGGAGAGAGAGAAAGGGAGGAGAGAAAGGGAGGAGAGAAAGGGAGAAGAGAGAGAAAGTGAGGAGAGAGAAAGGGAGGGGAGAGAGAGGAAGGGGAGAGGGAGGGAGGAGAGAGAAAGGGGGGAGAGAGAGAGAAGAGAAGGGAGAGAGAAAGGGAGGAGAGAGGAGAGAAAGGGAGGAGAGAGAGAAAGGGAGGAGAGAGAGAAAGGGAGGAGAGAGAGAAAGGGAGGAGAGAAAGGGAGGAGAGAGAGAAAGGGAGGAGATAGAAAGGGAGGAGAGAGAGGGAGGGGAGAGAGAGGGAGGAGAGAGAAAGGGAGGAGAGAGAGAGAAAGGAAGGAGAGAGAAAGGGAGGAGAGAGGGAAACAGAGAAAAGGAGGAGGGAGGAGAGACAGGGAGAGAGAGAGAGAGAGAGAGAGAGAGAGAGAGAATATGAATGAATGAATTTGATTGGCTCACTTGAGTTTCTGTGCCAGGCCAGTAGCCCAGTAGCAATTGGCTGCCCTTGGTCTGCTCAGCTGTGTGTGGTGGGGGTTGGGGGGGGGCGGCGGCAGGGTGTGTAGGTCACATCAGCTGTGTGTCATGGGGAGTGGGGGTCACTGGGGGCCCCAGAGGACAGAGGAGTGGTGGGAATTCCTGGGAAGGAGATTTCGGCTTCCAGATCAGCTCAGACACTGCCCTGATGGAAGCTTCCAGGAGACTCCAGGCCAGGTTAGGGCCTTCTCTGGGCCCTGTCCCCTCTGCTGCCCTGTCAAAGGTGCTGGCTGTATTGTCATCGTCTGGCCAAGGCTGCTGCTGCCATCAGTCCCTGGGCTCGTCGTGAGTAGGGGTCAGCCTGGTTCATCCCTGTGGTCCTCCGCTGAGCTCAGGGCTGGCACACGGTAGTCATTCAGGATGTGTTGTATTCAATGAATGAGTGAATGAGTGAATGGAGGACACGAGGAAGAGCTCCTAGCACCTCCCTAGTTGGTCGTCATCGGATTCATTTCATTTTCCTCCCAGTCTGGCCCAGCTCTGACTTGCTGGGATTCTCCCTCGGCCTCACAACCCCCAGGAAGGGGCCCCGGGTGCGCGCTCCCGCCGCGGCATCATGGTGGGGAGAGGCTGGCTCCGCGCCTGCGGCTGCGGCTGCGGCGGATGGAGCGCGCTAGTGCGCCCTGCAAATTAGCATGCTGAACCCACGTCTCTCGTAAGGTGTTAATTAAATTTCTTCGAAGTATATTGTCTGAAAAAAAAAAAAGGATAATTAGAAAGATGTCTTTAAAAGTATTTATGTAACTGATATGGCACCGCTTTTGGTTTGCCGCATAATTAGATTTAAACACAACTCCTCGAGCGGCATACTCATTTGGAGAGAGCTGCTTGTTGAAATGTCATTGCGTTGTTTTTAAGAGTTTTGAGCCTGGTAAAACCATTCAACTGGGGAGGCAACGTGTAGTGGAGACAGCCCTGGATGGGGAGCTGCGGTCTTAGCCCACGGGGAGCCGGGAGCCGGGGTCTTAGTCCACGTCCACATTTCTGCACTGGGGTGCCCAGGACCACTTGCTCAGCCTGGCTGGATCTTGGCATCCTCGTCTGTCAAACGAGAGGGCCACGATGGGCTCCTGAGGCACAAGAATCTACATTTATGCCGCTTTTTAAAATGTTATTTTCGCTTAGTGAAGTAGCTTCGTTTTACAGATGTGCAGACCGAGGCTGTGCAAAGCCTGGTCTTCTGACTCAGGATTGTTTTCTGACACAGCCCTGGAAGGCCCTCGGTCTAGAAATGATCACACTGTCTTGCAGTTTTGAAAAATGGACACCTTGCCTTTAGGTTCTTTATTTCTCCTGAAACTCCCCCTCCCATGCGGCTCTCCTGTGATGGCCGACGTGCCCTGCACAGCCGGGCAGTCGTCCTCATCGCCCGCCCCGTAGGCTTTATTCCATGCAGTTTCAGTGGGGGCCATAGTGCCCCCAGGGGGTAAAATCTGGTGCTTGGGGAGTCAAAAAAACGTCTTGCTCTTCTGTCTAAAGCGGATGTGGACAGGAGGTACCTAAACACACGTAGGGCATCTCAGTGGTGCTGAAGCTTCATGGGAGGGAGGTGAGTAGGGGAAATAAAAGACATCCTCAAGTCTCCTCTGGGGGTGATCATGAACAAAAGGTTGGTAGCTGTGCAGCACCTCAGCTCGGAGGGCAGATGCTCGCTGTACCCGCTTCCCACTCCCTTTAACCCTCACTACAGCCCCCACAACCTGACGTTTCCATGTTACAGACAGGGAAACTGAGGCTCGGGGGCCAAACATGCTTTGCCTGGCTAAAGATGAGGGAAGTCAGGATTCAGGCTGCAGTGGGAAGGTTGGGTGTCTAGTCCCTGGTCTGGTGGATATGAACAGGATTGACGGGGCTGTGAACTGTGGTGGAGGAGGCTGCAGACGCACCACCCGCAGGCTCATGGCTCCATGGCCTCCTGACCCGCAGTCTCATCTCTCCCCACAGGGTGGACCCGGTGCCTCATGATGCCCCCAAGCCTCCGGGCTACACCCGCTTTGTCTGCGTCTCTGACACCCACTCCAGGACGGACCCCATCCAGATGCCGTACGGCGACGTGCTGATCCACGCTGGGGACTTCACCGAGCTGGGGCTCCCGAGCGAGGTGAAGAAGTTCAACGAGTGGCTGGGTAGGTCCCTCCTGCCCCAGGTGGGCGGCTGTGCTGAGCAGGAAGGGGGCTCCCGCCGTCTTCCGAGGCTGCCTCCCTGCCTTTCCCTCCTGCTCTGCCTGGCCCGCTCCTTGGCCTGTTCCTGCCTGGTCATCCTCCCTGACCTCTCAGACCAGGTGCCCCTTTCTCCCATCCACCTTGGACCTCCCCTCCTCCAGCATCTGTCTTGGTTGTGACTTTCCATTTGTTTCTGGGAATTGTTTTTTGGCCTGGAAGACCCCCTCCAAAAGGGACTTTGCTTATGTCTTTGTCCATTTGAGTGTCCAGGCCCCGCTGCCTGGCAAAGGTAGGGCCTCAATAAATAATTGATGAATGAGGCTGGGTGCAGTGACTTATGCCTGTAATCCCAGCATTTTGGAAGGCCAAGGCTGGTGGATCACCTGAGATCAGGAGTTCGAGACCAGCCTGGCCAACATGGTGAAACCTCATCTCCACTAAAAGTACAAAAATTAGCCGGGTGTGGTGGCGGGCATCTGTAATCCCAGCTACATGGGAGGCGGAGGCAGGAGAATCACTTGAACCTCCACTGCACTCCAGCCTGGACAACAGAGCGAGACTCTGTCTCAAAAAGAAAAGAAATTGATGAATGAATGAATGAATGGCTGAGTGGGTGAATGAATGAATGAATGGCATAGAGAATGGTGGTGCCAGGGTAGGTGCTCAGCTGGTTCGTCCTAGCTCAGCCACCCACTGCCATGGAGATGGTTTCTCCAGGGACCAGATGTGGGCAGCTGCTGGTCTCGGCAGCAGAGCCCTTTCCCACACACTGCACCATGGCGGATGATGATGTATAAGCACATCCCCTGGGTTTTGTCTTTGTGCTTTTTTTCCAAAATGAGAAAAAAACCTGGGGGACCCCCTGGGAAAACTCGCTTGCCTTGGAATCCAGAGAAACCTCACAGTGAGGCGTCTCTGTCCCCACCCGGGGAAGACAGATGGACGGCCCCTGTGCAGCCCAGCACCCAGGCCTGCTGCCGTGGAGGCGTGGGTGCAGGGCCGCTCACCTTTCTGCGCAGCCCCACGTAGCTGCCAGACGGTCCCTTCCGCCTCCTCAGGGGCGTCCCGCTGTGCAGTTGGCTGAGACTGCGCGAGCAGAGGGCCAGGAGCGAGGCAGGGCAGCCGCGGCGAGCCAGGGGCCTGACTCTGCCAGGCGAGACAAATATTTACAAGCAAGGCCTTCCCTTCTGTTTGGCAGGCAGAGGCCTTTAAAATTGATTTTTCAAACGGGAAATTCTAATCAAAGGCTCTGTTTGGGCTGCAGGAAGTGCAGGCCGGGGGAGAGGGCTCCTGCAGGCCTGCCCTGGGATTCTCACCTTGTCCACACTGGTTCCAGGTCTGGGCTGCCCCTCAGGAGGGGTCCCTTCCCCGAGGGAGGCTGCTTGTCCCATCTGCTGTGGGTTTCAAAAGACAGGAGGTTGCACTTGGTGGAGTCAAGAGGCCGTTTCCAAGGCAGAGAGGCTGGAGTCGCTGTGGGCCAAGTCCCCACTGTGTGCCAGGCACAGGGTGGCAGTCTCTTATCACCTCTGCCTTGTTGAATTTGGGAACGGCTATTTGAGGTGGCTACCATTTGCGTCCCTATTCGACAGAGGAGAATGGAGGTTCTGAAGGGTGAGGACTGTCTCTCACACACAGCCTGGCCTTCCAGGTGCACCCCATCATGGGTGGAAAGTGTGAACTCATAACTTGTAAAGGGGTCTTCCTTTTACAAAAGGTTCTTTCCCTCGGGCCTCGCCCCTTTGCTGCCTGGAAGTGTTTGCAGATGTCAGGACGGTCACTCAGGGAGGAATGGGCTTCAGACTGAGGAAGGAGGAGTGTTTGCATGCGAGCGACGGCATGAATAGCAGCCCATTTGCAGCTGGTATTTTGGGCACTCACCCACTGCACAAAGCAAGACCCCTTGGTTGGCCGGTGCTTCAGGTCCCCAGAGTTTGGTGATTATGGCTGAGAGAGGGACTGTGTGCCTATGTGGTGCATTTGGACAGGGGCATTTTTCTATAAAGCTCAAGTTTACTGAACATTTAGTATGTGCTGGGTGCTGTTCTATACCCTTCGCATGTATTAGTAACTCATTCAATCTTCCTGACAATGAGGCAGGAACCATTATCCTTCCCATTTTACAGAGGAGAAAACCAAGGCCCAGAGAAGTGAAGTCACTCACCCAAAGTCACACAGCTTGTAAATGGCAGAACTGGGCAGTTGGACCCCAGTGCTGAACTCTTGGTATAGCTCTGTGTTGCCTCTCCTTCTTGAGGTGAAGCCTCCCTAATGGAAGTAAGGGTATGGACGATGCTGTTTGGAGTCTGGATCTGCTTTCTGCTTGGGTGACCGCAGCAGCCACGTGGCCCCTCTGGGCCTGATTTTGAATGGGGGCGGTCAGGCTCTCCTGCCTCGCATCCCTCCAAAGGTTGTTTTGAGGCTGTGTTGGAATGGAGGAAAGAATCACTTTGTAAACTGTAAAGTGCTGTGTACCCGTTATGATTGCCCCCATGAACTGGCGTCTCCAGATCTGGGCTCCCCTGGGTAGGGGTGGGGTGTTAGGAGGAAGACATTGGACCTGAACCTTGAGGTGGAGTTGGCAGGGAAGGCAGTGGAACAACACGTGTGTTACAGCGTGTGGAGTTCCCGAGAGATATGCACGTGTGGTCTCAGCTAGCAACAGCCCTCCCAACAACAGACACAGAGAAAAAGAGACTGGAAGGAAACATTCCGTCATCCTATTGCTGAGCCTCACTGAGAGCCCACGAGGTGCCAGGTGTGTCACAAGCCCTGGGGTAACAGTAGGCCAAGGGCACGCAGGGCCCCACTCAGCCTGATGAGGGGGTACTATGGCTCCATATATATGAGGGCGGCATGGGAGCCATTCATTAGAGAGAGCTACGGGGTCTGTCAGGGACCCACCTGGGGGCGTGTGGTGGTGGCCATTCAGCTGGGTGGGCACAGAAGGCTTCCCTGAGGAGGGGATGTTGGGCCAGGCCTGAGGGTGAGAATGAGGCAGCCTCGTGCAGCTCTGGGCAGGACCCGTTCCAGGCAGAGGACGTGGAGGCTGCAGGGGGCCCTGAGGTGGGAGCAGAGAGCACTGGGAGCATTGAGAAGTGGGAGAGGCAGGGCAACGGGGCAGGCACTGGTCCACACAGGCCTCCTGGGTCAGGGACAGGAGTGAGGGGCTGATCCTAAGGGCAGGGGGAGCTTTGGGAAGGTTTAGGCCATGATGGATTGTAGAACCAGAGTGTGCCCGGAGAGGGCTAAAGCTCCAGAATGTTCCAGAATCGATGTCTGGGTGGTGGGGTCATGGGGTTTTACCTTCTCCTTTAGGGTTGTCCGTCTCTCTCTCTCTCTCTGATTTTCTGTGGGGGAGGGGTGTGTTTTTCTGGTAATTTCAAACAAAGGCAACGCTCCTGGGCGACTGGTGCCAAGTGTGTCCCAGGAGGGGGTGGGACAGCGCTGGGCCTTGGGTCAATCCTGGCGTCATCCAGCCACTCCAGGGTCTCCATGAGCCCCTTCCCCAGCCAACAGGGTGGGAGACCTTTGCACACCCACCTCATCACCTTGCCCCCCTCGCCCACCCGCTGGGTCAGCCCCTTCTCCTGGATGAGAAAGTTAGATTTGAAATTCACAACCTGCTCCTTCCCTGTTCAATGATCTCATGGAAAGCATTTAAAATCATATTCTGAGAGCCACCTCCAGACAAACAGGAGGAGATTTAAAAAATTAATAAAGACCCACCATGTAAGACAAGACAAGGCACCTAACCGGGCTCTGTGTGGCTAAATTGCTGCGGACTCTAACTTGCTGTGAGGTGCGTTGCTCTCGGCTCGGCTGTGACTGGTGTCCTTGTGTTGCCTGTTTGCAGGCTTCTGTCTGGGTCTGAGTTGGTTGGAGGGGGCCGGGTTGGGATGAAAAAGTCCCTCTGAACAGTCCCTCTTTCCCCTTGGCCGTTAATATCCCAAATGTATTCATGAATTAGAAGCGGCAGCTTGATTTGTAAATGTCAAGTAAGCAGCTAAAAAATTGATAAGGACAGGTTCTCCAGCTATAAAGAGTGAACGCAGAAGGAAAACTTGCTGAAAATGGCAAAGAATGTGCAGGTGGCTCCTTGCTCCTCACCAGCCTCAGGGAGCTCACAGCTGGACGGATCAGTCCGCGGTGCCAGTGCAGGAAGGTGGGGCGGCTGGAGGCCAGGCAGCTGTCTTCACCCCTGTTTCCTCCTCTTCTTTGCTGTGTGATCTCAGTCCAGTCTCTCAACCTCTCTGTGCCTCACCTGTAGAACGGGGAGAATTGTTTTCCTGCCGTAGGGCTGTGGGGGAAGGTTGATGAATAATGTTCCCATGCAGCGCTTCGCCCAGTCCGGGCACCACGGGAGCCCTGTCATTGTGAAATGGCTCTCATGGTGAACAACTTGCCGTTCCCTCATCCTTGCCCCACACAAAACAGACTCCTTGACTTCAACACCAGCAGCACCTTTTCCCTGCAGCCACACCGGGCGGCTGGACTCCTCACTCATAGAACAAGCTCCCCTCCCTGGTCCTGGGCCCGTGCTCCACTCACCCCTCCGGAGCTGCCCGTTGTGAAGCCTCCCCCACCCCGCTGGGCAGAGCTGTTCCCTCCTCCTCTGTACGCCCAGAGCTCCCGGTCTGGGCTCTGGCAGTGGCTCTCACGTTGTGGCAGGGGGAGTGTCTCCCACCTTCACTGGCAGCCCCTGGAGGGGAGGGTCAAGGCTTCAGGCCCAGCACCAGCCAGGGGAGCCCTGGACAGAGAGGAGTATGCAGCCATGAGAGGCATGCTGACCCCGCAGACACAGCCCTGTCTGTGAGCTGGCCATGGTGACCCCTGCAGGGCAGGGCGTGCCTGAATGCCGCCGGGTGGGCCACCAGTAAATGGGGGCTTCAAGGAGGGCAGTGCTGTGACACAGACCAGTGTGAGCCATCGCTGTTGCCATACAGGACTTGGGAAGCGATCTGGGA